AAATAAGTGATATAGTGGGGCGAAAAGTGTGGAAGTATTCTTTTTGAGGTAAGCAGATGCAGGACTAGTTTTATATTTTAAGTGCGTAATCACTTAGCTCTTGGATTGTATTTTTATATTCTCCACTTCCAAACTTTCATTTGGCTCATATATTGTTGTCGTATTTCTTGTTGTTTCAGACTTTTTACTGATTAATATTTTTCCTATTAATCCGGTTTTTATCACTTATGATTAAGTTAGGTGTATACTGTAATTTTCTAATTGTGTTGCTCTGCGATCAGACACTTCAGGTATATGAGTCATGATTAGATTAGAGTACTATGGATAATTGGTTTATTCTCTATCTTCGTCTTCCGACTGAACGCTGGGTTAGAAGGAGCTCGAGGGCCAATCGGCATGAAGGTCTTGGTTGCTCTTCACTGATCAGAATGTTGTTTTGTAACTAGGAGATAACAGGTCCTAGGTGAACTAATCGATAATTGAACTAGAGAAACAGAGGATACAACCGGTATTGTAATTACGGCCAATATAGTTCAATTAATTGTCCCTCATTTCCCCGCAACGTCAATGAAATCTGAGTATCTTTGTAAGTTAGGAGATGGGGTAGAATTTTCTCTACTTCAGATTTCCTTCCGTATAGATACATGGTTTTGGATAACTGTGCTACATAGTTTGTTCTGTTGTTCTTCCTATCACAGTACATCGTCCAGTCATTTTGGTTGTAGTTAAAGGTTAGTCCAGAAACGATCATATTAACTAGGTGGGTGGGGGATTAGAACAAGCTTTGTAATGCCTAATTCGATTATGTCTAATTGGGCTAAATTTCCGCGGTCTGCCTATGTCGAGCATAAACACACTATTCCAATGACTCGTAAAGACGATGGGAGAAATCACTTGACTGAAATACAATCATAGTGATAAAATTTGTCCATCAATTGTGCTTTGAAGGTGAGAAATGGAGTTTGTGTATAAATATATCGATGAATAAGATGGTTTGGTTTTGTTTAGTAAATGAGTAAAATATATTCAAAATTATCAATATTATAAATATGTTTTAGCCTGTAAGTAACTCAGATTGAATGTTATGCATAAATTATCATATGAATGTATGATTAAGTAGTTTTAGAGTACCACAAAGTGAATATTAAGGAAGCCGATTAGTTCAGCGAAGAACACATGATTATTAGTGTTAATCCAATCAGTGACTGAGTAATTACGAATATTGCACTGTCTAGTTCTAGAAGGTTACTTGTTGCTACTTATTATTAATATATGTTTACAATCTTCAATGGAATTGACGCTTACTTGAAAATGTAGGCCAAGTTTAATGTTCAGGCTTCATCTATTACTAGTAAAGTTGAATTACGGAACTTTTTTTGAAAGGTGTGATAAAAAGACAACATTTTGATTAAAATGGAAACAGATTCACTTCTGCAAGAATCCTTAGACGTTACTAGAAACGAAAATTATTGAATGGTGATGTAAAAATAATTTAAGTATAAGAGATATCGTGTTAAAGGACATGAGAATCTGTCGATACTACAGTGACATATATATGTAGTTTTAGATTTAAATCAACTGTAGATTAATTCATTAATCTGATATAAATTATTTTAGGTAGATAACGAACACTGAATAATCTATAAGTTAGTGAATGATTTCAAGTTTTTCAGCTTTTAAGCTATAAAAACGAAAGAAGAAAAAGGTACTTCAAGTTTCATTTATGGACCATTGGATTTTAATTCATTAGCCTAGTTGTATCATAATAGCCACGAGAGATGAAAGTGAAAATTCTGGTATGAATCAGGTCGTGGGTGATCACTGTTGAGGGGTTTCAAAAATTTGTACAAAGACCTTTGTTTTTTAATAAATCTCCAGCTGTTATAACTGAGTAATAAGGAGTAACGTTAACGTGAATAATTTCTACTAGTTCTCTTAAAAGACCGAATAATGAGAGAACCTATAAACGATAACGTTAATTAACAAAAGCGAATTACGATCAGGATAAACTAATAAAACAAGTAAGGATAGCTTCATTATTTAGAACATTCTCAAAGTAATTAAATATCTAAAGTTCTATTTACCTTGATGATCTATGTTCGGAGCTGCAAGAAAAAAATGGCCCCAATCTATGAGGTCTGTTTCTTTTTAACTGAGTCTTGCTAGAAAGTGTAGGTTTGAGGTCAACAGGATATTCGTAATCAGTGTTTTCAGACTTTGTTAATATGACTCAAAATTAGTGGTAGCTGTGTATATATAGTGTGATTCTTCATCTTTCTGAGTGTTAATACCATCTCATAAATTGTATTCTTTGTTTTAGTGAGGTTGGGTTGTAGCTGAAAAATGGAAGTTGGGAGTCGTATTTCCTCTTATTCGAAACTCTTGTGCTGGTTGTATCTGGATCCTACCTTTGATGTACACACCGAGATTCGACCTCAGTACATACCGCTTCAAAGCCTAACTTGTTATTCACAAAGCTAGTTAATCTAGTTTTATTAGGCTTGTGAATAAATGGGAATTGTAGGGCGATTCTATGAGGATGCACATATGCCAAACAGAGATTAACCAATTTCTATCTTTAACATTAACAGCAGAAAACAAAATTCGTCATAAATAAGTAAATTTCACTCTTTACATTAGTACTTTCTTCTTGAATTACATTTTTTAGATTTAACTTCTTACTGCAACCGATATTATTTTTATTGTTTTCGATTGTTTTAATATATTCTCAATGGTAAAATAGAGGTGTGGAAAATTGCGGATATATACATATATATATTTATACCAGGGTCAACATTATCTATGATGGATTAATGTACTAGTTGTAAGTACCTCATAAGTATGATGTATCTTGAGTCTTAATCTGCAACACCTCTTCAATATTCAAGTTACTTCATTTTGAACTAATATTATTTAATGAGCCTTTGAAACCAAAGAATACTAAACAGTTATTTAGTCTGAATTTAGAACTTATTTGTAACGCTCTCTATACGAGATGAAAACTAACATTTGCAAGTTTCAAAGTGGCAACAACAGTTTTAACATTATTGACATGATACTTCATGTTCAGTGCTTTCATTTTCAGTCAATAAGCGGTATAGTGGCGTCATCATCACACTTTATTTCAAGGTGATTATTATTAAAACTTTGGAATAATGAGTAGTTCAGGAATGTACAATTAAGATGTTTACTTTAGTTAGGTAACAATCATGATAATAAATCCCTCTTCATTTGGTTTGATTAGAAATTTGTTTGATTTTCCATTGTACCATAGTAAGGAGAGAATTATCGTATTAATCTACGTCTCAAGAATAGATTTATTCTTTGTGATCAGTTAGTTAATAATGGGTTAGTGGATGTTTAGGCAAAATGTTTTGTAAAAAAAAATATTCATTTAATGATCCATTCAAGTGTCAGGTTAAACAACATATTGATAAGCTATCCAACTATATTAAGATTAGAGAATTTGAATTTGAGTGAATTTGAATTGGGTTTCAATGAGTTGGCAACATGTAGATTATCCAGAGGCATTATTCAATGTAGTTGGTGAGGAATATTCAACATCATTGTTTTCAATGTTTACAGTATATATTTTCACATTATTCTCGTATATATAGTCTTTTGGTACTTTTAGGCACAATATAACTAGTGTAATAGAACTATCCATTTATTAATTAAAATATGATTTCAAATATCATTCAATTATACAAAGTATAATAAGACTATTTCAGTAAGAATGTTTAAAGTAAATGTTTGTTCAATGGTACTTTTAAAAGATAAATGTACTTTACACATAGTATTCTGTAAATTCTTATAAAGCCTACGTGATAAATATGAACCTCATAAAAATTATTGAGTTTTATTATAGTTTAGTTCAACTGTACGAGTGCAATTTTGGTTTTTTTTTAACCATTTTCTGAAAAATATTGACGAAACTTCATTGATTTATTTTACAGCTTCAGTAAAAATATTATGGTTCTTTCAGGATATTTTATTATGTTCTAAACATATCAATAGTAAAATAGTTGCCTAGGAAGCTAAGATTCATGAAATCGATTTATAGATTTTCAGTTTCTTTTGACAAAGCGCTAGTAAATTTTATTGTTGAGTACTAGGATACGTGAAATGTATCTGATTTCATGCTCATCTATAGAGTACATATAACTAACCAACTCCATGAACATAACACAGGTTTCGCTGATGAACTAAGTCGGTTGATTTCATGATTAACAAAATTAAATCAACGATAAATATCATAAAATAACCTCGTTTAATAATAAATAATCTATTCGTGTGGCATTCCATATCTAAGCGCTTTATAATAATTTAAACAGAATGTTAGGAAATCATGAACTGATTAATAGTGAAAGGTTAACCAATCTCTCTTCTAGTACAATAGTTTTCAATCTGACCCTATCCATAAAATATTTGAAAGAATTATCAGTCAAATGATATGTTTTACATTTCAAGTACTTTCTTTCAGTCATTCTTATCACACAACAAGTCACATAAAATCGATTTTATAATAAGTATTTTATTTTATTACTCGAAGATAGCAACGTGAATTTCTTTCTTCTATTACTTATTAATTTGATCAAATCTTCATCAATCAGTTTACGAGAGAGAATAATATTACTCACGAGTATTGAATATAAATTATTTACCAATTGATAGTTTGTATACTCGATTTTAAGACGTGAGGGATACTCATATTATCTAGATGCCGATCGAACATCTAGAGAATCATAGTTATAACCTCAAAGCTGAACGTTGAAATCTGAGTGTTTCAGCCATTAGAGTGCCACACTACTTATTACAACGTAAGTGCTTATACGTGACTGATAGTTGTTAAATAGGATGAAACTGAAGTTTGGAATTTCATTTCTACTAATGATAATATTGTATTGGGATAACATCCTTTGGTCAAAAATTACGATTGATGGTGAAATATCAATAATAATAATAATAATAATAATAATAATAATAATAATAATAATAATAATAATAATAATAATAACAAATCAGAACTAATACTGTCTTAATGAATTTGCAAAGTTTTGGTAATTATTCACTTTTCATGTCTATAAGTCCTTTCAGCTGCTTCACTCAATTGCACATCCAAACGTGCATTTGCTGTACTGATCTCAGCTAATTGTATTTGCAATGGATGTAAAGTTTTAGCCATTTCTTTCAATGTTGATCCAACATCAATCAAAATATAGGCAATAAATATTAATAAAAAAGTGATAATACCAGGCAAAGCAATGATAAAACATAGAATTCCAGCACGTTTGATGAGTGAAGTTTTTTTTATATATTCACCTATTGTCTTGCCTAATATTCTTTGAATTACTTGTATCATAAGTAGTTCAGATCTGTCTTCTTTAGTGCATGCTATGTGTAGCCAATCACTTCCATTTATCGGGTGTGTATCACTATCACGATCGATTGGTATACTGTGTTGAAATGGACATGGTAAACAACTTGATTGACCATATTCCTCAGAATATGTATTATGTGGACATGGAAGACATTTGATTAGGTCATAATCACTAGTGGTAAATTGAGATCTGATGTATCCATCCGTGAATATTATTTGGTTAGCAGTAGAAGGCAAGAGTTCTTCATCAATTGATGGCGGTGGTGGATCGATAATACGACTTGGGTAATACGACCCCGGTGAGCATAGATCTGTTTTTGTTTACATCGAATGGCGAAAGTGAAAAAAGGCAATTACGTAACATTGGTACAAAGCAAATTTAAATTCAATTTTTAAATGAACAGAGAAAGTTATACACATTGAGTACTATTACCTCATAATCCCACAGTTGATGGAATTCACAGATCAGCAATGATTTACAGTTTAATACTGAAATAAAATGACATAGTCCGAAAAGTCTGAAAAAAATTCAACAAGTATTGTTTGACCCTAATTACCTCAGTGGTAACGTCTCTGACTGCGACACTGAATGACATGGGTTTACATTCCGAGCGGCATTGTAGATATGTTTTTCTGATGGATGAAATTTAGCACAGTAGGAAAGATCCAGGGTTTTCTAATGATTGCCTTCAGCCACAGAACCTTTCATAAGTTCTATCCAAAAGTTGGATTATTAGTGAACAAATAGGTTGATTTTTTAGCCACCTTCAAAGTAAACAATTTGATTCTGGAAAGCTAAAGATATTGAATAAGAAATTCATTATCTATTATCGGCAAGATGTTTATTTGAAGATTTTTCCTAGGTTTAAGATCTTTGAACTATGATTTGGTAATATGAAGTCAACCTGATGCTTGTACTTGATTCAGTTTCTTTCTATCAGATCAAGAATCATTTAAATGGTTTGTTAATGACATAATTTTACTTGTTGCTGAATATATCATTTCAGAATATTAAAACAAGCATTATGCATTTGATGCACAGTAAGTAGATATGGATATTAATCCATAAAAAATGAGGAAGACAAGTTTGAAAGATTTCTGCTGACTTCCTTTAATTGACCGTTCAAAGTTTTGCACCTTTTGCTGACTTTTATTTTGTTAATCAAGTTAATTCAGACTAAACCTTGAAACCTGAAATATTTTAGTAAGTTTAACTTTGAATTGCAGTATTTCCAGATAAAAAAGTATGTCATCAGTAGTTATATGAATTTTAGAAATTGTGATTATGTTAGCATTTAGTTAGCTATGGAATTAGGGTTGAGTTATAAGAAACAACATCTAGTATGATTACGTAAAAGTATAATACAGGTCATTACATATTTTGAGTCGTACAAACTGATAAATCTAACATAAGATAGGCATTACGTTGGCATTTCATTTTTCGATCCAATACAATGTTTCTGTAAAAGTCCGAAACAAATTGAAGATTGTTTTGCTGATGTACTGAGTTATCGCGAGAAACATTAAGGAAATCATTGCCAATATCTTGGATGTAAAACCTAACCTCTAGTGATCACACTCAGAAATTTCTAAATAGCGTTGGTAGGAGCTCTGATAACTTATCTTAATATTCTGTGACGTTCTTCAGGTCTAGAGGTATATCTTTTCAATAGATGTTGACAAGTAGAGCTAGCTACTTATTGATTCCAGGAATGTAATGCCAACTTCAATATTGAATTTTCTAACTTAATATATAATTAACCTGTGGAATTCGATTACTAGCTAGGTTTAATAAGTGACATATGCTGTCAATCACAGGTTGATCTTTAGAGTGATAGTTTATTGGTCAGGGACAACCTAAATTGTTTCGCCTGTTAAGTATATTAATATTGCTTTTTAAAGTGATACAAAAAGCCACGTAAATCTTATTGTTACATTTTAGTAAAAGATTGTTAAAGGTTGAAAATTTTTGAATGTCGCAGTGCATATGTAAACCATTTCTGTTTAAGGACTAAAGAAAACGTCAAACTATTACACGAAGACTCGAAGTTTAGACGCCTGATCCTGTTTGCAAAACAAACTAGATGGCGTAGATTTTTTTAAAGCAATAAAAAACCTTGTAATTTACGTTTCATCTGATTGGTCTGCATCTTTCCGGAAGTCTTGTTATACTGATACAAGACACCTGTAGCCGTAATTATTTTACAAAGTACCTCGTGAAAAATGTAACACTTAACCTTGCCTTTGTTACACGATTTAGGATTATGGCCCAAAACTGATACGTGGAGTTAATAAATATGTCATTAAGTATTTTCCTTTTTCTTTGAACAAGTTAATCAGTTTAGGTTACTGAAAAGGTAATGACCTCATTATGAAACAGAGCTAGAATTCGGTGTTTGAAGCACAAGTCTTCAACTACTGAATTTCACCTTTCAATCGTAAATGAAGTAAGTAGTCAGTAGTACATCTAATTGGTGAGCAATAATTGTATGTACATGTTTACTTGATTATAAAGCATTATACGTAAGTGTATTTGTCTGATAAGAGTTGTCGTCAACTACAGTGCATCGTAGTATCGTGCTATTTTCGCTTACTACACAAACTGAATGACAAACAAAATTTATTGAACACTTAAGATGATTATCTGGTCGGTATTAAAAATGTACTATATAGTAAATATAAAAAACAGATTCTTTTGGAAGAAAACCAGTTAACTATTCTAAAAACATACCACATTCACCATGTGCCGGAAGCAGCTTTCCTGATGGACCCATACAATAATGAATAGATCGATAATACGGTGTAATTATAACTTCTATGTATTTAGTTGAGAATTTTTCTTTCAATATTTCAGTTAAATAACTTTTCCTCGACAGTAATTCATCATTTAATTTCCATTGTAACTGTCAAGCAAAATTAATCACAATTAAGAACTTGTCAATCGAATTATGTGGTTTTTCATGTGAATTATTTGTCTTTAAAGGGAAAATTCACTATTCTTTGTCCTGAGAAGGACAGAGTATCACTCATACACGCACCCATCTACCTTATGTTTAGTTAAAACACCTAGGGATTGTTCTAGACCTTCTTTAACTAATTAAAACTTCATACTTTTGTCACTTCTGAGTACAGTTTATTAGTATCAAAGATTAGAATTTGAAATACCTTAATGAAAGCCACTTCTTTTGAAATAAACTTGATTATTTGGCATGATGTAGCATCGTGGATAAATAAGAATATGTTATTCTCATAAGACAACTGTGTAAACTGCAATCACAATGAATTAATTAAATAATTCTATACATAATTCTTGAAAAACTAAATCTCTTCTTAATATCTATACCAATCACACTGGGATATCACTTATTTTAAGATTTTATGGAAAATTATGTCATTTTTCCGACTAGGTTCCGATTAACCACAATAATCCTAATAGTTTGTATTCTTTTATTCTGCTTGTACATAATTCTTTGTATTAGTAGTGATAAAGTATGAATACACATGTTTGCTTTACTTAACTACTGAATTCAGTAATGTAGTCAGTCAGATATCTTTTACATTTTCTGTTGTCATAATAATTCCTTTTGACTTTTATAATTTGTTGTCATTAATTAGTTTCATGAAATGTATAAATTAAATCCAAAATGATCTTAAGCGATCGAAATTGAAATGATGTCAACCTTACACTCGGCTGACTGGTCTATACTTCTTCAGGGAAGCTGGGTATGTCCGTGGGAGACAGTTACGGATAACTCCGTCCAAATGAACGCTATAAACGTTTTGTATGTTTTTAAATACTACTTACAAGTAGGCTGGTACAGTCTTCAAAATTATTACTGGATATTTCCCGGTATTATTACTTATTGTTAGGTGAAATAAAAAAATTGGTTGAAAAATGACTGGAACTAACTAACCTCTTCAAAAAGTTCAGAGGCCTCGAATGCGATGGATGTACCTGTCGAATTTACCGTATATTTTCTAAAATTGTCCAAAATAAATGTAAATTCAGTGTAGTGCGTAGCACGTGAATCATTCAAACTATTCATGCATAGAAAATCATTTAAATAAAAATTTATACAAAATGTTAAGTTCTGACATATAGATTGACTGAGTACTTCTAAATTCTCTAAAATATAATGTTTTGATTTTGCCATTTCTTTATCGGATGTTACATTAATACCAAATGTTGTTTGACAATCGCATGTGTTATTGTCAATTTGACATTTATGCAATAATGCATATTTATCCATGTTCATATCTACTTTAATACCGACAATTTGATTCAATATAGCTAAATTAATGAAAGTAATTTGATGTGAATAATAATAATTATCAATTATCTGGTTATTATTATCGATAATTTGTTTATGACACCATAACGTTGTTTGCCTCGATATCATAGCCCATATAGTTAAATATCCATGAATATCCCAGTTTGCATTAAAAAATGCTCTATGCGGTGATAATTGTCTACCATTGAACAACCATTCATAAACTACTGATTGATTATGAATTCTTCGATTATTATTATTGTTGTCCATACTCTCATATTCACATGGCAGTGTTACAATATGCCCAATTATTAAACGATGTTGATAATAAATAAAATTATCATTTGCTTTCAGAATGGATTGAAATAGATCATGTTTAATTGGATATTGAGATTGAGACAATGAACCAACTTGCGGGAAATTTAAGTACAAAATCCAAGTAATATAAATCAAGATAACTAGTGTCTTCATACTTCTTTATTTCTTATTTGAAATGAATAGTAACCTAATTATTGTGCGAAATCCTCTTAATTCTAAAGAATAGTGAATATACATATTTAATATTGCAATTACGTAAACACGTGAGTTCATTAAAAATATATGGATTTTCCATATTTTAAATGTAGTGAAGGATTTAATCACTTTACTCTAACGATAACGAATGATTAAATTCAACATTAAAAACCTTTTGATTCTGGATATGTGATAATTTTCCTTTCCACTAATAATGAGTAAAATATGAAAGATTATAAGATGAAAACTTCTATTAAATATCTAATATAAGACAATATGTAATTAGGTTTTTATGGATGTGAATCTACTGAAAATGACTTTAACCAAAATAGTAGTATTTTTTCTTTATTGTTGATTACAATTTGTCAATGAAGATTACAGTGTAATCATCAAAACCAAACGACTGATTTCTAAGTGAGTTTTGTTTGATTTTATAGTGGTCGGATGTTGGTTCATGTCTCTGAGAGAGCGAGAGAGAGAGAGGTTGTAAGCAGCTGATGAAAACCTAACGAAATAAAATAAATTCATATTATTCTGCACCAATCTTTGTTCTTGCTCTATTTAAGATAATAAAGGGAACTAAGTGTATGAAATATACTTTTTAAATGAGGATTATAAACAAATATTAAGTCTACGTTAAAGACTTCAGATTAAACTCCTATAGCTGTTCACAATTAAGTTTACTTGTTTGATTGACGATAATATTTGATTGGCATGTTCATATTACTTAATAATTGTCACATACCTTCACGTTTGGTGTAATAAAGCCCTGATAATTTGATATTAGCACTATTAATATTCATTATTTTGAATACATTTAGTCATTTGGAATAGTTCTTCCTGAAGCAATGTAATACATTGCTGCTTCTTAAAACTTTATCGGAATGTGGATAGACTGTAAATAATTGGGTTTCTATGACCAAATGAACAGCAGTAAATTAGTGAGAACTCTGTTATCCACACTAGTCCAATAGATTTTATGATTAAAGCAAACATTTTAATAATAATGAGTATTTTAGAATTTATTCGGATTCAGAGAATAATGAAGTAGTTAATGAAACTTATCCAGATAAATCTAAAAGTTCCAAGAAAACCTTTTGTCGTATACTTGATTGCTACTCAAAATTTAAACGCACCAGGAAAAGTGAAAACACTAGAAAAATGGGTGTCGCATGTTCATAGGGTTTTTATATTATTTTCCTCAACAAATCATTGTATTACATGAATTTTCTGACGATGCGGAAAACGGATTAACCTATAAGAGCTGATGCTAATACTGAAGCTATCATAAGTAGTAGATATTTGTGCGTTAGACCATACGAACCGAAATTATACTCATGATCTGGATAGCATAAAATATCGAATGAAGGACAATATTCAGGTCGATTTTAAACATACGTTATTCATAGATACTAACCAGTCATTATATCTGTTGAGAATTGATTCCGAAAATAAATACTATACAAATGAATTAGATGCTGAGAGAATTTAATCGATAATAGTTGTTCAAAAACTCTTGCCTGTTGTTATCAGGTGAATAAATTCTGCATTACTAATCCTGCATAAATAAATTCTGATAGCAGAACAGCTCACCATAGTTATTCTCACTACATAAATATATGAAATATAACATGAGTATATATCGTTTAGCAATGATAGCAATAATGAACAAAAGATAACCTGAGAAAATTGATTAGTTTATTGATAAAATCTTTAGACATTAAACTAGTTATCTTACCAGGACAATTTATTCAGATTATTCAACGACTTTTTTGCTTACAAGACTACTTACGTTATGATAAACGGTAATCCTTCAATATTATAATGTTCAATGATTTTCATCATTGTTCTTTCGTCGACATGATTCGAAACACATTCGTATGCAAAATATCAGAGTTAAACACTTCAAAAATGATTGTTTTGACATAGGGTTTAAATAATCTGCTTTATATAATACATATATATATATATATATATATATATATATATATATATATATATATATATATATATATATATATGAAATGGAGATAAGATTGAGCAGAATAATTTATTCACTGTTTCAGTAATTCATCACTAGTAACCTACATATTTGTTAACTTTGGTTAAATCATCATTAAATACCTCTGTATGTTTCAAGAATAAGAAGTGCTCTAAGTGAAACTAGAATATATTTAACTAACTTAAACCAATAAATATCGATGAGTATAAGATATTACTTTCAAGATAATACTAATTACAACTTTCTAAATTGAAAGATTTTGTCAGCAAATTAGTCTTTTTGCTTTAGCTCTATGATTATTCTTTTCTTATTAAATTCCAGCTGTGTATGAATTTCAAAATAGATTATGAATGATTTAGGAGGTAAACTGTCTATTATTGAACTTGGTAAACTCAAACATCTGTAGCATTTAGTTGTCTAATTGATTTTAATTCAACTTAATGATACCATCATAGTTGACTGTATTTCAAATATTATGTTCATCTTTAGTTTTCAGTTTATGAGAATCTATAAATCTAACGATAAATTCATCTGGAGCTATATAATTTGCTTGATTTCTGAAAACCATTCTTGCACTAATAAAATCGTTTTGTCGGTAGCCTATTTACCTAGAAAAGCAACAAATCTTTTAATGAGGATTAAACAACTATTTCAGCTCAGTTTAGAAAATCTTAGTACGCCATGACTTTGAACCTAAAAATATGACTGAAATTAGGAATTTCAGTATTCAGTGAGTTTAGTTCATCATTCATGTGACTGGAAAATTTCAGTCTGTGGCACAGTGTTTACTTATTTTCGCTGTACAATTTCCATTGATTTTCTACGTGATATGCGTTTGTGTGGTGTTTGTATGAACTAATGATTCCTTTGTACTTGATGGCTGCCTGATATCGAATTCTAAATATAATACGTTTGTTCGTGCTCATATAATACTTCTTGGTTAATTTGCGTTATGTCTGTAATTCCTAGCTTGTACTGTAATTCAAATATTTCGAACTATCACATTGGCGTCGCGTTGGTGCTTGCGATAGAACAATTGAACATACATTCAGATTTTGATGCTTTTGAGTATTACATGGAAAGGCTCGAAGTCTGGACTATGACCAAGTAAGATGTTGAGGATGTCAATATTGTGGCTCATTTCCTTACATTCATCGAAAAAGAAGCATACGGCTTATTAAAAACTGGCATTTCTGGAAAATCCTATTTCACTATTTTATGCAACTCTTGGGGGACTACTATAAAATCATGTAAAGTTCACCAGTTTTAAATGTCGTGAGAGAGCAAAATTTCATAAGATGATTCGTCAGATTAACCAAAAGGTTAGGGAACTCATCCTTGAAATATAGAAACAAGTTGCCAACTGCAGTTTTGGTGACCAAATTCATGTGCACCTGAAGGATCGATTAATTTCAGAAATTAATATACCAGTTCTGAAAAGAGAGCTGTTAAGAATGCCGAACTGTTCTTTTGAGGATGCTAGAACTACGAATCAGTGAATGAACTTGATACCCAGTCGATGAAAATTTCTAGTGCTTTGCTCAGTCATCATAATGAAATACGATCTCAGGATCAAATAAACATGCGTTTGTTTAACAGTAATTCCTATTCTCGTGGAAATATGAAATTAGATCAACAAGGAATTGCAAAGCAAACCACAAGGGTGGGAGAGAGTTTGGTAAATGTTTATCCTGTGGCAAATTTCATTCACGTAATTCATGTGCATCTCGTAATGTTAAATGTATTAAATGTGTTAAGATAGGACACATTCAGTCAGTATGCAAAACTACTGTTCATTTTACTTCAAGTCGTATTAAACCTTGTAATTTAGATCCCATTAAGTCGGCTGCTCCTAATGATCATTTATCTTTATCCATCATTTTTAAAGGTAATGTTCATATTCAAAAGCGATAATACACATCGCTTAATTCATTTCATGACATTTTTGTGGAATCAGGCAGTATGGAGTTCATTATTTCATTCAACAACTTAAAATCTTTGGGTCTTAACGTTGTGATACGACTAACTGTAGTCTCAATATTGGGGATTACTGGACACAAACGGCCCATACGAGAATGCTGTGAATTGATAATAAGAGATGATATTTTTTCATACATAGCCTGTGAGTTTCTAGTTAGCGAAACAGAACTGTCAATACTGGGTTTGAAAAATTTGAAAAGACTTAAAGTGGAGTTATCTTTACTAGTTTCTAAAGAAAATTCCGATGCTTTACTTAAAGATATGATAGCTACATGTGCTGAGTGTAATGTAGGTATGAAATTTCGTCCTATAAAACTTTGAGTGCAGGGTGATCGAGTCATTTTTCAAAGACGTATATTTCCATATGGTCTTTGAGAAAACAGTACATAAGACATTGAACGATTTATGTGCGAAAGGTATAATTGAACCGATTCTATCTTATTGTTACACCATTGAAGTCGAATAGCAAGACCCTTGGAATATGTGGTGACCATATATTAATACTGAACTCCCGTTTGTTGAAGCAAACATGCATGACGGTGGAGGCTAAAGGTATTTGAAATCGACTTCATGGTTCTAAAGTGTTCACGAAAATTGACTTAAAAGTTGCTTATCTCCAAATCCTTTTAGATCAATCTTCATCTATTTTGACGACAATTAACACCTTTTGGTACGTTCAAATACATCTTCCTTCCATTTGGTCTAAGTTGTTCTCCAACCTCGAAGTGGACTACATGGCCAGTATCGTCTGAGGTCTGGCAGAGAATTCATATAGACTATTGTGGTCCATTTCTTGACAAATACTAAACACTTGCAGTCAGTGATTCTTTTTAGAAGTGACCTGAAGTTTTTTTCAAAACTTCGCCAAATTTTGACCTCACAATCCAAGCATTAATAAGGGTTTTTAGTCAAGAAGAGGTTTCTAAGGTGTTAGTGACTGATAATGACTCTCATTTTGCTACGGATGCAGTCACTATCTAGTTGAATGGTATAGGGTGAGGCCGAAACCTTCAGTTTTCTTTTTCTAGGATTCTCTCAGAGCTGGATGGATTATTTTTTCTCGGAATTATGCAAGATAACTCAATTCTGAACTATCAACATATAAACTGTGAATTTCATGCTATATGATAA